ACAGCATCGGCAGAGCATCAGCCTCTTACTAGGAGACGACCTTACACAACTTTTGGAGGCGGTCCTCTGATGAGGTGTGAGAGAAGGATGCTTCCTAACCGACCTTTGAGCAGGGCTGTAACCGCCGTCGAGGACAAAATTTTGCCCCCTCTTTATGAAAATGCCGTTTTGCTGGAGACATCTCAAGAACAACGGAGCAGGAAGGCTTGTCGCTACATTGGGAGCAACTCTACGAGCACTTATCAAGGGAAAAACGACGCTGCTCCGGATGCTAGCCCAAGGCGACATTTGATCGGCTTTCTGCATCGGACCAGTCATCTATCGCTCACTAGTGAATTAAGCGCAAATGCGTCTTTTTACTTGATCGGCGAGTGCCAAGTTTTCAAAGAATTGTAAATGGAAAACCCCTAAATGCTGAAATATTTGCATTCTAGGTCATCGTGGGCGTCGTTTTGAAGACTCTACAATAGGATCTGAAAGCGATGCCAGGATGTTTTCAGATGAAGATGACAGGTTAGTTTACAGCTCTTTATTCTTTGCACATATTACGAAAGGAAACCGCTCTTTTTATGTGCATAAGTCGTTATCGCTAATGCATTGTGAATAATGGGTGTCGGTTAGAGACCCAACGAAGTAAACTCGGTTTTGACTATAGTAATCAATATTCAATCATATTATGAAATTTTGAGCTGTCATTCTTCTTCTAAAGCTTTGAGCTTGTTTCTGAGAATGTAATTTTAATTTGTCGATGTTACTGCAATCTTCTTAATACTTCGGATTTTTTCTTCTTCAACTAAGGTCCTCCATTTTTGTCATTAAATAGACTCATAGTCGATTTTTCTAATTTTGATCTTCTGTTCAAATTCATCATTTAAACATCGATGTGTTTCTAATCCATGCGCCTTATATCGTAATGGATGACTTTGGCTGCGCTGGGATTAGTTTCACTCGCTGCGCATGAATTCAAGCCCTATTTGCGCATATCGTGCTACACTGTTCCTCTCCCAGCAAACTGCATTGATTCTTTAAAATTTTTGTTGATGAGCGGTTATGTTACTGAGGATGGCGATTTCGATGATAGCGACGGTAAAGTGTATTATTCAACCACATCTAACTCAGAGGATTATTACGCTATAAGAAAGTCGAAGTAAGAGCTAGTTTGTTGAAGTTCTCAAATATTTCACTTTTTTGAAATCAAATTGACTTAGGTTCGATTGAGAATTTGCTTAAAATAAATAACAAGCTATTTGAATGAATGCATTTCTCAGATTTGATGATATCTCATCTGTGAAGGATCTTGAAGACGATAAGTGATGCTTGCAGATGATTCTCTTATAAGTCTCTCATGCAAATAATTTTTTTGACGGTTATATTTTGTATGTATTGAACATCAGCTAACAGTTTCTCAATGAAGTTTCCTGAAACGAAATAAAATTTAGTTT